TATGCAGACGACACAACAATATACTGTATTGCAGAAACGATGGATTTGCTAACAAACTCACTAAACAATGTTCTAGCTGAACTCCAGGAATGGTGCGACAGAAAGTCGATGCTACCACACCCAGAAAAATATAAAGCAATGATCATGCAGCGCAAATCAACATTTACTGGCCCTATCCAAGCTCTTCGCCTTGGCAACAACATCATAAAGTGGACAACCTCAGAAAGACTCCTCGGAGTACAAGTTGATAACAAGTTGTCCTGTTTAGATCATGCCGCAAATGTAGCGAAGTCCTTCGCATCCAAGTTAAGTCTACTCCGACGCATGCGATTCCTCCCTCAGGAGCAATTAGAAGATTTCTACACAAAAGTGATACTGCCATCAGTTACATACTGTCTGACAGTGTGGGGATCGTGCAACAAGACGCACCTAAACAACCTCGAGAAACTCCATGCAAGGGCTGGACGGATTGTATATTGGCTGCCTTGGGACACCAGCGCTGAAGATGTCTTAATGCGAACTGGATGGGATAGTCTGGAAACAATGTACAAACTGCGACTAACGGAGTTTGTCTTCAAGTGTTTAAAAGGTTACACCGTCACTGAATTTAAAGATTTGTTTTTACAGAGGAATTCAGGCCGCAGAAGAAACGAGAACATCATTCTTCCAAGACCATAAAAAATTTTTGTCAGGAACTCCATACGCTTTAGAGGAGCAATCGCATGGAGCACTTTAACGAACAAGGAAACAAGGGCCAAAACCTTGAAAGGATTTAAACGCTGTCTTGTAAAATTTGATACCGATAAAATACATTTCGAACCAATTTTTAGTTACTACTAAAAATAGAGATATCGGTTACGAATACTTTTAACAGTTTTAATTTTTAATTGTACATTTTCACGACCTATTTTAAACATTTTTAACGGTTTTTAATTATTAATCGCACATTTGCTTTTAGTACTTCTTATTTTTGTTGTAATTGTTAGTATGCACGGCCCCACCAGCAATGCTGATCTTTTTATCGTGCTAAAATAAAGTTATTATCTTATCTATCTTACCTTTATGGAGAACTTAAACAGTCGACGGCGAAATTTTATTTCGCCTTCTAAATTTGAGTATGGTTCCTTGAAATTCCAATTCAAAAGGTCTGGCGCACATTTTGACAAAGTTAGTTCTAAAGTAGGAATAATCGCGACGAAGAATGAAAGAACGCAAATTCATTTTTTAAGCGACGTTTTTGTTGCTGTCGCGTCGTTGGATCAGTAAGTCCCTAGTCGCGACTGACAATCGGCGCGAACGACTTCGTATATGTTAAAAGAATTTCAAAAGAGAAACGTCTGGTCGCAGGGTAGCCCATTCAGGTCCGTAACGTGCTATTTCTAAGCTCTCTCTTAGCCTGCGCACCTGGCGGAGCACCATAGTTTGACTTGTTCCGAATCTTGTTGTGACCCCTACAGTTGTTTCATGGTTAAAACACGTTTTTTCTTTGGCTACACAGGGTTGTTGGAAGATGTAGAAAGTGTATGAAACTTGAGCGACAACGATGCCAGATTACGGCATGACTTCTCCCAGTACAGAGAAATGTTGAAGGAGCTGAGGTGTTCGGAAGAGAGCTTTGAAGATGGTTCTAAAATCGCATACCCACTCCAGGTTGGTAAACAAGCGGTATTTAGTAATCTGCAAGATGTTTCGGTGTAAGAGAGACCCAGACAACTGAACTTATCTGCATTTTCAAGTCTTTCACAGTGAAAACAAGTCACTTTCTTCCTTTCGGACGGTTTTTTTGATATAACTGTAAGCCTCACCTTTTTACCTTAGTAAAAAAAATTCACTCCAGTAAGAGCATGTTGGGTAAGGTGGCCAGTTACCATTAACGATCAAAGGAGCGAATTTCCCCTTTGTAAACGGTCGTTGCCATTTAAAGACGCTCAGGGCTGAATTTTACACGAGCTGACTCGTTGTTTGCCGCTTTGAGACCGAGATCTATGCGCCTTGGTTAAACGCAACAAACATCAACTTTGTATAATTACATGATCATAAGAACCGAGCCAACGTGGCCACTTTACAAAACAACCCAGCCTTGCAGATGGGGCCAGTCCGGATCATGTAATCAGGCTCAAAGAAGATTTTTGTCCTGTTTTTCATAACTGTCTTTCATAACTTACACATCTGGGTGGCCCTAGCTTTTTCTCTATTTTTTTTTTAAGCAACTCTGCTTTAAACTTTCTTTTTCGTAGACATTTGCTTCATATAAACTTAATCCAGAGAATTTTTAACCATGACGGAATGTTCAAACTGAAAGATCTTTATAAAATATATTCTTAAACACTAACAATTTGTTGAACGTTTATCATAGTATGTTTCGGAACCCATCTGATTCCCTTCATTAGTGAGGGCGTTTTTCTCAGAAAGGAGGAGGCATCTGCTCACGCCAAACTGGAAAACGTTACTGAGGTACGGCTACCTTCCTTTGTTTGTGCTTTGTTGTTGTCATTATTTGGAGCGTCTTTTAATCGGATGTGGAATTAAGAGAGAATCTGGCCATTTTCAAATTCAAATACAGTAAAAACCCATAATTAAGAATCAGCATTTTCCACGTTTGTCTAAAGAGGTTCTTACATAAGTGTTGATTAGCATAAATTTAGGCTATTTAGGTTCTTGATAGGTTCTCATTTTCTGGGGAAAAAATACATTACAGCTAAGAGTATTTAGTGGTATTCAGCTCATTCTTTCAAGGTAAAAACTGTATACCAGCACAATTTCAGTTGGAGTAACAAGGATCCTGAATGTTGACTTATCTTATTTGCCCAAGTGTACTGACAGAATATTTTCATAAATTTTAGAAAATCAAAACCTGTTTTAAATTTTAGCCTTATCAGGTTCTGTATAGAGGGGGCCTAACTGGCAAGTTTTAGCCTAACAGGTTGTTACAAACAAACAAACAAACAAAACAAAACAAAACAACAACAAACAGGTTCTTTAAGTCGCGGGCTTTTACTGTACATCAAAAGTAGGTGTATGATCGTCCGTGTATGCATGATCGATCCTTGTTAATGAGGATTATTCCCCCGATGTATGCTTTCTCGTTTGGTGCTTCTTCAGGTACGAATTTAATGCCACAATTAATATTTAGTCCATGCATGATGAGATAACTACTCCCTTACTTCATCAAGTCGTGGAATACGAGACAAATATTACACGCAATGGTTTTACCGCTGCTAAGTAAGCTCTTATGGGGTGGGGATAAAGTAGCCTGCGTAGCAGGCGCTTGGAAGTAGTGGGCGAAAGAGAGAACGGGCGCGCGCGAGGAAGACACGCGAGGGGTGAGGGAGCGCCTGCACGGAAGGCCCCCGAAAATCGTTTCAACTCGCATTCTGTGAGTGCAGTTATTTCCAATTGGTCGGGAGGCTCTCGAGGGAAAAAGTTACCGCGCGGGGCGAGAAAACTGTCAATCAATAGTACATAGACAACGTAGTGAAGATCTTGTATTACACCACTAGCTCCTGAAACCACTAAATTGTACACAATCGAAGTTCAGGTCTCGGAGGTTACTTCAAACTGGTTTAATGAGACTATGTGGCTGTAATCTGAAAGAAAAGTTGGAGTGTTCAAACGGTATTCACGATGGAAAAAATTGACATCAGATACCCATTAGCAGAAGTGGCGAGAGACAAAAGATTTGCCGAGTCGTTGCAATAAAAATCAAAGGAAATATTCTTTGCTCAGGAGAACTTAGCGGCTTGTGTTGTCGCTGGAACGCATACCATCAAAACTTGGACATGATTAATGAAACGAAACACTTACCAGGGGCATTAATTTAAACAAAACCTTGCACTATTCTATTATTCGCCGTTTGGAGGCGACCTGAGGTCTGTTGTTTTGTCAGAGGATTCTTGGATGTCGTTGACATAATTTAGGAAGAGTAATGGGCCTAGGACTGAGCCTTACGGCACACCGCAAGTGGTATTTTGTCTTTTAGATATAAAGGAAGCAATTTTCGTCGGTTAAGTTCGACCTTCTGAGTAAGGTAAGAACTTATACGAAGATGATGCGCATTTTAGAAGGCCAGTGTTGAAATCACCCACGATTATACAATGTGTGTCCCAGAGGACGCACTTTTTTCAATAGTCTCATCAAAATATGATTGAAAGATTTCAGGTGAGTTATGCTGTCTATAAAAGATTCCACAAATAACATTTTTCTTATTCACAAATGAGAACTCAGTCCACAATACCTGAAAAGCGTCATTAGAGGTCTTTTCTAAAATACGATAATCAAGCGATTCGTCAATAAACATTCCTACACGCCATGCAGACGCCAGAGGCGCTGGAACATATTCAAATACGTAGCCAGGTATATGTGTGGTGCACATTTGTGAATTAGCATTGGTGATTTTTGTTTCAGTAACTCCGATGACATTAAAATGAAAATCTGCTTCATGCAAAAGTTGAGTTTGAAGATTTTCCAGGTTACGATTAAGGCTGACTACATTGTTATGAAAAACAGAAAAGCTAGAGATACTCTCATCTTTTGACAACTTCGTTTTCATTTCCTTAAAGCTGTGGGGTAAATATATCGACTAGTTATTCTGTTGGAGGAGTAATCAGCGGGGTTCAAATTATGATCTAAGGTTGTATTTACGAAAAACAAATCTAAGTCATTTAAGCTAGTAAGCTTGTCTAATTCCTTTTTAGTTTTACATGTTGTCGACACTGAATTATCAAACTGGCCATGAATTTGTGCCTAATTTCCAGAACAATTATAATACCGTAAAACCTTCAATGTAGATCTAATAGATTTCACTGTAGTTTTGTTTCCGCCTTTCATAGTAATATCAGTGATCGCGCTTCAGGGCGTTCACGCAGTCTTAACTTAGTTAAGTCGTCAATCGACCTCAGACGAATCGCCATAGAAGAATCCGTTTTGTGTAGGAAGATTGTTGCGCCTTTTGCACAGCACCACTTGTAATTTTATCTGTTTTGGTGCGCCTTCGCTGAATGTTACAGCTCTTGTAGTCTCGGCGTAAGGTGGCTGTAAATTGCAATCCGATCAATTTCAACAGTGGACGGGAGATCCAGGTCGGTAGTTAGTCGACTGGCGTTACCTCTTGACGCCAACACAGTGTCTCGTGTCATCCTTCTAGTGAATTTGCAAATTATCGGGTTCGGTTGTCTTCGGTTGCCATTACCGGTTGAAGTATCTCGCTGTGAAACCCTGTGGGCAATGTCGATCTCTGATATGGAGACATCGACTCCAAGGCCAGAAAATAGCTTCACACACAATTCCACGGTGTCTTGTGCAGATTCGCTTTCTGAGATAAATGGAACGCCCACGATCTTCAAGTTGTATTGGTAACTGTAGTAGAACATCTCGTCGATAGCTTTGTAAATTCTGTCAACGTTAACTGTCAATAAATCCAACCTACGAGAAAAATTTTCCAGAGCTTTTGACAAGCTCGATTCTGACTTAACAAGGGCATCGTAGCTGTCGCTGAGGAATTGGTCATCCTGTGTGTTCGGTAAAGCGGTAGCTGCTGCTTCGTGGCAATCCTTCTGTTCCGCCTTCTTGGACTTGAAAGATTGAAATTCCTTCTTCAGATCATTCAGTTGTCTTTTTAAATCATCGTTCTCTCTTCTTGACGCTTTCACTCTGTCTCCCATTAGTCAACGAAGAAAAAAGAAACGATCTTAACTAACCTAACAGCAAACACACATATGCGAGAACGCGGAGCGCTAGCTGAAGAGTCCGGTCAGTCTCGCAGCATCGCTCTATAATCAGCTAACCCAGCTGACGTTTATAACAGATACATATACACCGAAGATGAAAAGTACAACGCTTTTTGACGTCACACTTTGTTTGTGCAAGGTCAGTCGTTTTCTGTCAAAAATTTTGACAGATCGCGCAACGGCTGCCAGGTAATTAGGTTGGGGGCGAGAAACGATTTTCGTGGGCCTTCCGGGCAGGTCCTCCCTCTCCTCTCGCGTGTCTCCTTCTCGCACGCTAGCTTTTTCTCGTGCACACTACTTCCAAGCGCTTGCTATGCAGGCTAGGGTAAAGGAAACGCCCTCCATTTCCAAGCCCCACCCTCGCCCCCAAAATGGAGGTGATTCCCTTCACTTCCTTCGATTATTCTCACTCTAACTTTGTATTTCTTTCCATCAGGTATACGGGCGTATGTTTATCGCGAAGATTCTACACAAGCACGTACTGGCTCGTAACTACTTTTTACGCCTACCCGGCTTGGCGGAGCACATGAAGAAGAAAATTTCTGGACAAACTCGAGGATGAGCTGCTAACAACGGGGCGAGAACTGCAGCACTTAAGGCGTAATCTTCGCTGTTGAACTACAGATCATAAATTCGTCATTGTTTAGTCTCTCGTAACATGTAGGTTCTAAACATGGTGCATTAAAAGGAAAATCTTCGTGACCAAGTGACAAATCATTCTGATGCGTATATTGATTTTTCTTTTCGTTAAAGAAGTACATATATAGGTATCATTTCTTTACCGGTATTAGAACAACTTTTTTTTCTTGTTCGTTATTGTAAATAAATGAATAAAACTGAAACAGTAGCCCATTCTTCGATCTACGTACTTAATGTATCCAGGTCTTGACCGCCGTCAAACGAAAGACATGTAAAATAAAAACAACAACAACAAAGTATACTTTACTAATATGCTCTTTGTAGACTGTTAACAGCAGGAAGTCCTTACGCCACGTTGCCACGGTAACAAAATTTCTGGAACTCTAAACCGTGGACCTGCAAATATGGCAGAAAACAAATTTAAAAAAAATAAGAGTGCATAATTGCTCCTAAGAATAAGACGGTAGCTCCTCTGTCAAGAAAGATTCTTGAGATCCAGAAATTTTGCAACCATGGTAACCTGACGTCACACTTCCTTCTATTGTCTGACCTTCTTGGAGTTGATCAGTTTAAAAATTCAGCTTAATCTACTATATTTTCAAGCGTTAAATAACAAGAATGCTACTCGTTTCTTTCTATACCTGAAATATTTTTCTTCTTATACATTTCACGATACAATTCAATTTTTTTACGGTTGCATTACGGTACAAAGTAGGGCCTGGATTTGATGTCAAAAACGTTTGGTGGAGAATATTAGGTAATGGCTAAAATTCAGCTTCATGTTCACATTTCAAGAAAACGTTCTTTAGCGACGAAACAGCCTTCATAAACGTGACGGAGAAACCAAAGTCATTTGTCGTAAAAAAGCCAATAATGAGTTAGAGAAACGGCCTCAACTTGAATTGACGAGACAACACTAAGAATTTGGAGCATGAATCTCGTCACATATCTCAAGATTTGTTTGCATGTGTTTCCTGTGGGTCGCATTATTCCAACATGCTTCTTGGCTCAAGATCATAGACGAATTGCATTTGCCATTACACAGTTTGATTTATTGATTGAATGATCGATTGATCGACTGATTGATTGATTGATTGATCTGAGAGATCCGGCACGAAGACATTTGATTCAGCTCTAGCCTGAGCTCTATTGTTATTTTGTCTCTTAAATACAACACACTAAAAAGGTGTTTGTTATTAATAGCTTGTAAAATTGGGGTGATGTCAGCTTTCCTTAGCTCCTCTAGAGAAGAATTGGAAGGAAAATGAGAGTATACATACTTATAAACAAAACGCCTTGATACTGGACGCTTTGAAACTTAGAAAATTATTAATATTAGTGTGGACGAAAATCAACATGTGACCTTTAGTAGACTTCGGAGACAAAAATTAATAAAGACATGAAATGTGTCTTGTCTGTTTGCAGCCTCCCTTTCCTTGTGTAGTTAAAGAAGAGGTTAAAATTAATAAAAATAAAAAAAAAAAAAAAAAAACCTTTGAAAAAAGTTAGCTTCAGTAGCTTTGACATCTATTCCCCCTTTGAGAAACAAATCAATGAATGATAACAACAATGATAATTTTCCGCTTTAAAACTGTCTAACAATACCAATAAATACAGTTCGCTTACTGTTGAGAAGGTGCGGCGCTTATTTGAGGAAGATGTTACATGGTAGTTATGGCAAAAGTTAGTCAGAGACGTCATTATATCACTAAATCTATGTTTTTTATTTAAATTATAAAGGGAAAACCTGGATCAAGGCAAGACTTTTTACCGGTGAATTGAACTATATACGTGCCTTATGGGGTGTTTTATCTTTTTTCCTCGTTTGGTACATACAGGACAGTATGTCATGAATTCGTTTTAGCGACCATTAACTTAATGTTTGAGACTAATGGAATACTAATACCAAAGTACAATTGACCCATTATTAATTATTATTTCTAGTTTGTTTCGTAAAAAGTTTCTACTTCGTCTGGTGTGAAGTAGAAGTTTGTTTCTGCCAAGAATGTTTGGGCGAAGTTGCTGCCGTAGCTGTACCCGCTCGGTGGGCTGTAAGTATGGCCAAGGTTGCTGTAAGAAATGCTATTGGATGACGCGTAGTTGGAAATGTGAATGTCATGTCCTGCTCCGAATGTAGGTCCATACGATGAGCCACAGTATATTGAACGTCTTCTTGAACTATATTTCCCTGTCTGAGGCAATTTAACAGGTGCCCATCCTGGTTTGTTCACCAGTGAAAACAGAAATGCTTTAGAGTCGTACTGGTACCCACCGCTGGAAGCTATCAAAGAGAAATTAAAGATGGAACCAAGTGTAATTAGCGCCGTTTGTTCTGATACTCACTTTAGAAATTAAACCACCCGTCAAGTGGATTGACACTAAAGACAAACCTGGAAACAAATTTTCTCATTTGAAGCGAATGTGAGTCTGATATGTTTTATTTATTTTACTTTGTAGTTGTAGGACAAGTACAAACATTTTAATACTAGAAAAATGTCAAAAAACAAACAAACAAACAAATCAACAAACAAAACTAAACAAATAACCTTTAGAGCAAATCTGTAAAGTCTTTTAACGGAAAGGATTTCAATTAATTGATCTACTAAAAAATTATTCGTTCCAGAAAATATTTGTATTTGTTATATTTTAATTTAACAAATTAACGGACAGACTTTTAAAGGTCAAATTCACTCAGAAGCAGTTTACACACTGTTTTGCCACGAAGTTTGAAGTTTTTGTTTGAACTGACTTTTGAACTTTTAAACACAGTTTTTCTTATTAAAGTACATGCAGTTGATGTAATAGGCTTCATCGCCTTAAAAGTACAAACTATTGGTACAAAAATTGAATCTATAAATGCTTCCTGAAAGCCTTAATTACCAGCTCAGCACAATTGTTCTGATTTAATATGCTGTACTGATTTTGATTATTTGTCATTTTCAGTTTAGAGCCTAGAACAGATCATGATATTTATGGCCGGATAAGTACTTTTTAATTAGTTTCAAACAAAACCAACTAATGATAAGAATGATCGTTCTTATTCGGGAAATGGTGATGATACGGGAGGATAAGGCAGGGGCGAAATGAAGCTAGAACAAGATCCAAGAAAAGTGAAAAACGCCCTTTCAATCTGTGCATCCAAAGGCTGGATCATTTTGATGATGCTCACTTAAACGTAACTTTGTTTAATTTATGCTTCAACAAAGCTAGAAACCGGTAAAATTCTCTCTCTTTACAATGTTTACTTACCCCATGACCTACTGGTATATCCGCCAAAAATATTTTCCCAACAAAGGTAGTAGCCGTTAGTAGTAAAATGATCCCTATTTGTATTATGTTAACTTACCCCATGAAATACTGGTGTACCCTCCGAAAATATATTTCCCAACCCTTATTATCGTTACAGTCGGTCCCTTGCCATCACACCGTGAGTGAAATGTACTTGCAGCCCAGCCGTCCACAGATGCATGCCAACAGCGCTTCCAGGCAGAATTCACACTTCGTGCCACAGGAGACAGCCAGCTTCTTAAAGCCCTCAAGTAATTTATGCTGTTTCCCACAATAACGGAGTCTTCTAAATCTGAACAAATATCAACAAGCATTAAATTGGCGTGATGACAACTGATGGCTCAGACGTCAATATCAATTATGTTGACTTTTCAATGGTATTAAAAAAAAAAAATCTGAGGTAGTAAAATTTTGACCTTATTACACCAAGAGATATGACAGGCAGGCCCACATTCCATACATTTCTACTACAGTAAACACCTGCGAATAAGAACCTGTTAATCAAGAAGCCCCTGGCAAACATTTGCCACTTTAATAGCCAAAACTACAAAAACCAGTTAAGTCAACCAAGATCAAGAAAGTTATACTAACAGCTAGGCAAGTTTATGTGGTAAAGATAACTAGTAGGTGTCCCCAATTATCGTATGGATTTCCTTACGCTAGATCGTTTGACACATGAATAAAGTTTTTCTTCCATTTCGTTCGGTGATTGATTGATTGATTGATTCAATCTTTCGTTCGTTCGTTCGTTCATTGATTCATTCTATCATTCTTAATAGATTAGTGATTATATGTGGGTTATTAAAATAAACAATTTAATCAAAGATTGTATAGCATTGAGATTGTAAATTTAAAGGTCAAATGAACCAAAAAATTGACATATTTTCTTTTGTCGCTTTACCTTCACCAAACACTAAAAAGAACCATCCTAAGTGAGATTTGGGTAAAGATTGTTCTTCCCAAGCCTTTATAGAAAGATAAAAGATCAATATCCGAGCATTTCCGAAAACTTCACGAAAACGTTTCTGAAATGGCGCGCGATAGACTGGAGACTACGTGACGTCAATGTTGGTCTCTCAGGGCGGAAAAACGTTCTGCGCAAGCTTCTGCGCATCCCTTATCGCCTGCGTTTGTTTGTCTCGTTCTGTGAGAGTTCTGACTGAGACTTAATGAAATACATGAGGTGTCAAAGATTGCTCCTTGTAAAGGCTTTTTTGCTTGTTTGTTTTTGTCGTTGTTGTTGTTTTTTCGTCACTTGAAAATTACTTTGGATTCAGAAAAACCAATGGTAGAGTAAAAACAGATCATCCGTAAGTCTGAGGAGGAATAAAACGTTTTGAACATTTCCAAAGAGGTTTGTACTTTTCTGATAATTGTGCATTCGATTTGTGAATTGATTTTGTGTCCAGTGCTTCGCCTTCTTTCGCCGGACTGACTCAAGTTAAAACCCGCTTGTATTCTGTTATTAGTAGTTACGGTTAGTTTTTTTACATGCGCAGATTTATTTACCTTTGCAGAACCAGCTTTTGTTATCTTTCTGTACGCAAATTTTTCTTTCACTCGCTGTGAAGTAGCGGAGAACGACAACTGCCGGTAGTGACTCCAAAACAATCGACTCTTTGCCAGCTGGATTTGACTGAAGCGAGCAAAACAAATCCTTATGTACAGTTTTCTGTATTTTCTAATGATTCAGCTTGCTAAGTTTAATTTGCTTGACTGAAGACCCTTGCATGAACCAGTTATTACTAAAAAAAAAAGTAGCTAATCTAGCTAAGTAGTCGGAATCATGGCTTGGCTACGCAGCTTGCAACTGATCTTTTGCTTCTGAGATCTTTAGGTAGGTTGTTTCCGTACAGAAAATTCACTTCTTCTTTGTCAGCAGGTATAAGAGCCTTAAGCCTTATGTTTTTTAACGAAAATTTGTTGTTTTGCAACCTTATTGAAGCTTTTTTTAGCTCACTTAAGTTGAATTTTATGCGTGATGGAATTGTTTTTTGCTTGATGCATCTCTTTGCCAGCTTTAAGTGGCGTCTATGGTCCCTAAAGTGACCTCAATCGGTAATCAAATCTTAGACATAATTGGAAACAAGTTTTTGCAAACGGTAACTTTAACTTTGTTTGAAGGAAATCTTACTTTTGATACGCGTAGGTTTTTAAAAGGTGTTATGCATGTTCAACTTGACAACACAAAGCAAAATTTATCGGCGCGAAACGATCAAGTTTAAAAAACTATGGTTGCTTTGAAACCGATCTTGGGGAAGATTTACTAGATAAAGATTAACTCTTTTTCTGCCCACATATCAACGCCAAAACTTCTACATTGAGGATTTTGTGTGTATTTTAGTGATCTGCGAAGCTAGATCAAAGTGTCCGATCGAGCGTGGGTTTCAAAATATCAGTTTGAGTGCGACAAAGTTCAGTGACTTCAAACACATTGTGAGCAAACTTGAATTTCTTTGGGCAGATTATTATACAAAGATATTTTGTTTTTGTGTCCACGGTGGAGCTCCAGACCATATCCAGGAACTTCCTTATATGAACACATTTTGTAAATGCATCTTGAAAAAAATCGGACTTACGCAAGCACATTTCTAGTACAACTCAAGGAAATTAGTAAATGTCGTTAAAGTCCGTTTTACTATGATGTATTCTTCGAGAAAATTAAATAACAAGAAGGTTATAACCACAGCTTGCAAGTTTTGAAGACAAATTGCCTGTTCTTTCCAGGTTTATGGCCGCACAAACCACTTCTGCGCCAAGTCGACTCGAAAAACTATGTTTTGAATTTCCCGCCGTTTTTCACCTGACCAACATTAACGCCACAAGCTGTTTTTACCGACAATTTTTCCGACCGCTCTACGAAGATAAGGGCCAAAAAATAACGATTTTTAATTGCGAATATCTCGGAGATGCTTGCTTCAATAGTATGTTCATAGTATGTTTATTCGGTTCATATTAAACATATTTCACTAGAATTGAACTAAAATAAAAAATGGCGAATTTTTGGTTCATTTGACCTTTAAGTATAACGAGAAAATACTGTACTAAATATACATTCAGTCAACTCTCTCTCTCTTTCAATCGTTTTAGGCACCGTCCCTAATTAACTGTCCGTTCTAGAGTCGCGTCCAGGAGGTGACTGCCCTAACCAAAGGGATGATTTTCTTTTCAAAACTTGGCTGGAAATGATTTCATTTGTTTGTTGAGTTCAGAAATAAGATGAGGGAGAAAAATATGTTACTTCAGGGTTACCTGTAATAATTAGCTCAAAGTGAGAAAGTCTGGCTTATAAGCTCATACATAAAAACGAACATCTAAGGGTACTCCCGAGGTACTGTGTTTACCAGAACGACTCTTTGCTTAAACAAAAGAGCATACCTAGCNAAGCCCCTGGCAAACATTTGCCACTTTAGTAGCCAAAAATACAAGAACCAGTTAAGCCAACCAAGATCAAGCAGGTTATACTAACAGCTATAGACAAGTTTATGTGGTAAAGATAACTAGTAGGTGTCCCCAATTATCGTATGGATTTCCTTACGCTAGATCGTTTGACACATGAATAAAGTTTTTCCTCCATTTCGTTCGGTGATTGATTGATTGATTGATTGATTCAATCTTTCGTTCGTTCGTTCGTTCGTTCATTGATTCATTCTACCATTCTTAATAGATTAGTGATTATATGTAGGTTATTAAAATAAACAATTTAATCAAAGATTGTATAACTTTGAGATTGTAAATTTAAGTATAACGAGAAAATACTGTACTAAATATACATTCAGTTAACTCTCTCTCTCTTTCAATCGTTTTAGGCACCGTCCCTAATTAACTGTCCGTTCTAGAGACGAGTCAAGGAGGTGACTGCCCTAACCAAAGGGATGATTTTCTTTTCAAAACTTGGCTGGAAATGATTTCATTTGTTTGTTGAGTTCAGAAATAAGATGAGGGAGAAAAATATGTTACTTCAGGGTTACCTGTAATAATTAGCTCAAAGTGAGAAAGTCTGGCTTATAAGCTCATACATAAAAACGAACATCTAAGGGTACTCCCGAGGTACTGTGTTTACCAGAACGACTCTTTGCTTAAACAAAAGAGCATACCTAGCTTTTGTTGTTGAACTGCCAAGTTGATTCTAGCCCTCTTTGTCCCCATTGTGTTCGTTGCAGTGCACTCGTACAAACCGCTGTCAGCAGGAATCAATTTCTTAATTATTAGTGTCCCGGTACCTTGAGTTACTTCAGTCCTTCCAGCTGGCAAAGGTATCCCCAGTCTATTCCAGCTGATAACTGGACGAGGAAAACCTTCAGCTTGACAAACTACTTGATAGGTAGTGCGCTGTACTGGCGTAGCGAGCGATGGTGGAACTTTTGAGAAGATTGGAAGACCTGACAGAGGATAAACAAGGTAACTACGTATAACAACGAATAGGGAACAATCGTTGTGAGCCTTTGGACGACGGAGAAACAATTCTACAAGATGATGCTAATTTTAAGTCGTCATATTTGTAAATATTTATAAGTATTAATAACAGCCGCATATTGTTTGTACAAGTTGACAGCGCGACAAAAAAGGTAAAAAGAGCCTTCAAACAAACATAAGCAAAAAGAAAAAAACAAAAATAATGAAAGTAACAAGAAATAAGGTGACCAGTAAAATCTCAACCATGAGTGTGATTCAATCTTCGCCCTTTAATTTACAGTCTTCAGAGATCATTACTATTAAGCAGCTGGGTGTTAAACCTTCGGATTATATTTTCAGTTTTCCTCTTACCTCTAACAGACAAGTTACCAGTGGCCTCAGATGATCCAAGAATGTTTTTGGCATGACATGTGTATTGCCCAGCATCGCTGTAGTTCAAACTGTTAACAATCAACTCTCCCTCTTTAATTAAATACTTTGCACCTGACACAACCTTTCTGCTTTTGAATCGCCATTCGACGGCAGGACGAGGATTTCCTCCAACTGTGCAATAAAAAGTCGTTTTCCCTCCTTCATCCCTTGTCTGTTCTACCGGTGACAACATCACTTGTGGTGCAGATATTGATTTTCCAGGCCTTCCAGGTTGTCCCGGCATGCCTTTTGACCCTGGTTCTCCCTTGACTCCTTTTTCCCCTTTCGGTCCCGCAGGGCCCGTCATTCCTGTTTTTCCGGATTTTCCAGGTGGTCCCATGGGACCTTGAATGCCCTTCTTTCCCTTTTGTCCCCTCCTGCCACGTGGTCCCTTCGACCCAGTGGAACCAGGGAGTCCGGGGGGTCCTGCAGGACAGACCTTTTCACTTGACTTACAGTACTTGAGTGGCATAAGTTGTTCAAACTGTCTCATGATTTCTCTTCTCACGTCATGTATTGTGATGCTAAC